TCTCATGGCAAGGCCTCCAAGGAAGGACCTTCTGGATGGTCTGTGGGGTCTCATGGATGGCCCCAGGGTCTCTCTTGGACATCCTTGGAATCTCATTGATGTCCCCCTTGAGGAACCATGAATGGTCCTCCAGGGTAGGACCTTCTGGATGGTCCCCAGGGTCTCATGGAGGATCCCCAAGGTCTCACAGATGGTCCCTGGGGTCTCATGGATGGTCCCTGGGGTTTCAGGGAGGGTCCCTGGGGTTTCAGGGAGGGTCCCTCAGGGCATCTGGTGGATGCTTCCTGGGCTGTCTCTTGGACAATCCCTTTGGGTGTCTCATGGATGGTCTCCAGGGTCTCATGGAGGTGCCCTGAGGTCTCATGGATGGTCCTCAGGGCGTCTCACAGACAGTCCTCTCGGGGAGGACCTTCTGGATGACCCCAGGGTCTCATGGATGGTCCCCAAGGTCTCATGGAGGGTCCCTGGTGTCTCATGGATGGTCCCTGGGGTCTCATGGGGGGTTCCTCAGGGCATCTGCTGGATGCTTCCTGGGGTGTCTCATGGACAATCCCTTTGGGATGGTCTCCAAGGTCTCATGGAGGTGCCCTGAGGTCTCATGGATGGTCCTCAGGGCGTCTCATAGACAGTCCTCTCAGGGAGAACCTTCTGGATGACCCCAGGGTCTCATGGAGGGTCCCCAAGGTCTCATGTAGGGTCCCCGGGGTCTCATGGAGGGTCCCCAGAGTCTCATGGAGGGTCCCTCAGGGCATCTGGTGGATACTTCCTGGGCTGTCTCATGGACAATCCCTTTGGGATGGTCTCCAAGGTCTCATGGAGGTGCCCTGAGGTCTCAGGGATGGTCCTCAGGGTGTCTCATAGACAGGCCTCTCGGGGAGAACCTTCTGGATGACCCCAGGGTCTCATGGATGGTCCCCAAGGTCTCATGGAGGGTCTCCAGGATCTCATGGATGGTCCCCAGGATCTCATGGATGGTCCCCAAGGTCTCATGGATGGTCCCCAAGGTCTCATGGAGGGTCTCCAGGATCTCATGGAGGGTCCCCTGGGGTAGGACCTCCTGGATGGTCTCCAGGATCTCACGGATGGTCCTTGGGGTCTCATGGATGGTCCCCAGGGTCTCACGAAGGTGCCACCCACCAGGTCCCACCACCCCGAGCACTCTGGGAAGGGCTGTGGAGCGGTCCCTACCTGCAGCATGTACTCAAACTGGTAGATGCAGAGCCCCAGTTCGGCCATACTGGGTTTGAAGAGCTCCCGTAAGCGATATTCCTGCATCAGCCTCACGAAGACGCAGAAGGCCTCTTCCTCGGGCATCTGGAGACCCAAAAAGACGTGAATTTACCCCGAAAACTCTGCCGGGGCTGAGGATTTGGGGCTTCTTTCCATCAGGTGATGGGATGGGATGGGGTGGGACACGTCAACGGGGGGGGGTTTCAACCCATCGGGAGTGACTGGGATGGTGGGAACGAGCCCTTTTTCCTCCTGAGGATGAAGAAAAAGGCTCCTCTTCCTCAACCTCCTTCTTCCGCGTCAACGGAGGGCGTTAAGAACCCATCGAGGAGGTTCCTCCTCACCCTGAGGAGGAAGGTCCTCACCTGCATGAGGAGAAGACCCACGATGAAGGCGCTCCCTTGGCAATAGCCCACCTCGCGGTCCACCAGGGAATAGGCCTGGAAAAAAAGGAAAAAAAGGGAAAAAAGGGGAAAAAAAATCAAAATAAATATATATGAGGTGGAATTCGGCCGGGTCACCACCCCCCGTTGGCCGTGGGAGGCCCAAAATGGGTGGAAACCATCAAAAATCAGTTTTTTTTGAGCATGACGTGAGCACGATGTCGCTCAACACTTGAGTTTCGACCCAAAAATACTTAATTTTTTGGGTTTTAATTGAGAATAAACCGGGGAAAATTTCTCGAGGGGGGAAAACGAGGGGGAACAAGGTGGTTTTTTTGAGAAAAAAAGGCCGTCGAGGCCAAAAAATGGCATTTTCAAGACTTTGTGGTGGAAACCAAACCTTGTAGAAATTAATGGGGGGTGGGATCTTCAAATCTCAAGGAGGGGGTTGAGTTTGAGGCCAAAATTGGTGGAAAAGAAGGAAAAAAGGTTGACCTTCATGACGTTGAAGAGAACTTCTTGGCCCAAACTGTCCTGGCCCTTGAAGAACTCGTGCTCGGGGTAAGTGCGGGCGATGTCCCTCCTGATGAGCTTCTCGCAGGGGGAGGACATCTTGAGGAGCTCGGAATATTGGTTTTTGACGGGCATTTCGGTGGCGCTGCAGAGCAACTGCCAGACGATGGCGCGGAAATGGTGGGGGATCCCTTTGCGGATCAACTCCTGAGTTGGAAAAAAACCCCAAAAATGGGGTGGAAAAACTTCAAACCTCAAGTTTTGAGAAGATCGAGAAGAAGAAGGTTGGATGGGAGACACCGTCTTGGTCCATCGCTCACAGGTTTGGGATCACGGGATGGTTTGGGGTGGGAAGGGACCTTCTGGAGATCGGCTCCTCCAACTCCCACCCAGAGCAGGTCCCATCCAGGGGGGTTTGAATGTCTCCAGAGAAGGAGACCCCCCCACCTCTCTGGGCAGCCTCTCCCAGGGCTCTGCCACCCTCAAAATGGAGAAGTTCCTCCTCGTGTTGAGATGGACCTTCTCCTGTCCCAGTTTGTGCCCGTTCCCTCTTGTCCTGTCACTGGGCACCACTGGAAAAAGCCTGGCCCCGTCCTCCTGACACCCCCCAGCCAGGAGATCCCCCCTCAGCCTTCTCTTCTCCAGACTCCAAAGCCCCAAGTCCCTCAGCCCTTCCTCCTCACAGAGATGCTCTCCTCCCCTCATCATCTTCGTAGCCCTTGGCTGGACCCTCTCCACCAGTTCCCTGTCCTTCTGCAACTGGGGAGCCCACAACTGGTCCCAGTGCTCCAGATGGGGCCTCCCCAGGGCAGAGCAGAACCTCAAGGTTCTCCACGCTCTTCCTGATGCTCCCCAGGAGAACATCAACCTTCTTGGCCACAAAGACACGTTGGTGGCTCGTGGTCCCCCCATTGTCCCCCAGGACTCCCAGGTCTGTGTCCTCAGAGCTGCTCCCCAGCAGGTCACCCCCAACCTCTACTGGTTTTACTGGTTTGTGGGGTGATTCCTCCCCAGGGGCAGCACCCTACACTTGCCCTTGGTGGGACATCATAAAGGGGGAGCCCCTTGAGAGACTGGAAGGGGCTTCAGGGTCTCCTTGGAGCCTTCTCTTCTCCAGGCTGAACCCCCCCAACTCTCTCAGCCCCCCCTCCCAGCAGAGGGGCTCC